TTTTAACGAAATTAGTGTCATTAGAAAGAGTGTGGATGAGTTAATTTACATCTACTATAAAATAATTGCATTTAGTTTTAATTGTCATAGGTAGAGGGTACTTTCGAATAGAAAAAATTAAAATTCGTTTTTCTTGAAAATGTTTAATGGAAACATCTATTTATTGTAAACTATAATGAAACTGGATTAAATTCGTAACAAAATGGAGCAAAGCGCATGTTAATAGCTTTTGTCGAACTCGAGATATGAATAAAAACGAATAAACATAAGTAAGTATAGTATTGACTCACCCTGTATTAGAAATTAAATTAAAAAATAAGTCAGTAGGTACTTTCAAATTTTTTTATAGCAAAATAATCTTAATGTTGATACCTATTTTGACCATTGTTATTTTATATGATTAAAAATAGTTTTTTCGAAAGTGTTGAATTGAAGATTGCACTTTTTTCAATAGATATTAATATTGGTAATATTAGTAATTAATTATGAGTACTAATAATCCGTGATGAGCATATCAAATGCAGAATTGTATGATATGATTGGAGTTTATTTCGAATGTCACCAAAATGCCGCTATTGCTTCACGTATATATTCTGTAAGATATCCTAATAGGAGACATTATGGCAAAGAAGTATTTGAAAGAAAGGTAAGAAGATTAAGAGAAACTGGTAGTTTTCATCGTCCTTGTTTTAAACGATGTAGTAGAGGTATGACCGAAGATAATTCAATCACTGTTCTTGCTTTAATTCAACAGAATCCACATATAAGTAGTCGGCAAATCTCTATAGAATTAAACATACCCAAAACTACTGTTCTAAGGATTTTAAAACATCACATGTTGGTTTTTCATATTATAAAGTGAACGTTTAGGTCAGAAACTTGGAATTCCCTTTAAACTTTAGGTTCAACTATTATTTTAATATTTCGATAAAAACGGCAACACTGCGCTTTTATCCTTTTATCCGTTTCTTAAAAAGACATGCACGATTTATCTTGTGAAACAATTGTAGATTTTTCAAGATTTTTGAGTTTTAGTAAATATAGTGGTTTCTTTTTCACCAATATTTGTTGTTCTGTTTTTTTAGACTGCATCCTTATAATGTAGTTCTCCATTAAGCTTTACATGAGAGATTTTGGATGTAACAATTGGATGTTAGGTCTGCTAGAAGAACAATCGCGTATCATGTCAAAGATTTTGTGAACGGACAAGGCTACGTTTAATAGTGCGGGTGGTGTTAATCTGCTTAATATGCATTATTGTGCTAAAAAATTGCATTGGATACATGAGGTGCAGGTTCAAGGTAGATGAAGTCTTAATGTTTGGTGTGGTATAGTTGATGGAAAGATCGTAGGTCCATATTTCTTTGATATAACTTTAAATGGCGAAAAATATTTGGATTTTCTGGAAAATCAGTTGCCTGTTTTATTGGAAAAAATTTTCTTACAAACAAGAAGAGATATGATATTACATGACGGGTGTACTGCGCACTTTTGATTACTTGTATTATTTGTATGCAAGTTATCCAAATAAATGGATTGGAAGAGGAATCTCCAGACATAACATATCTGGACTTTTATCTATGGGGAAGATTGAAGGACTTAGTGTACCAAACTTGACCAACCACGCGAGTCGAGATGAAACAGAGCATTATAAACACAATGAACAGTATATCCACAGCTGAGATTGAAGCAGCTGTTATGTCTACGCGCGAAAGATTTCATCTTTGTGTGGACAATGATGGAAAACAATTTGAACATTTAAATGGATATTAAGTTTTAATAATCGAGGTGTTTGTATGATCTTTCACATATTTAATTTTCAGTTATAATAAAGGGTGAGTCGATACTATACTTATTTATGTTTATGCGTTTTTATTCATATCTCGAGTTCTACAAAAGATATCAACATACGGTTTGCGCTGTTTTCTTAGGACTTTAATCCAGTTCCATTATAATTTACAATAAATAGGTGTTTCCATTAAACATTTTGAAGAAAAATAAATTTTAATTTTTTCCATTCAAAAGTACCCTCTACCCATGACAATTAAAACTAAATTTTATAGTAGATATAAATTAAATCATCCATACTCTTTCTAATGACACTAATTTCGTTAAAATCGGTTGATCCAAACCAAAGTTATAGGTATTTATCCACAAATACTTTCCCACTCTCTCCCACCCTTTATTTGAAAAAATAAACAAAAAACTACTTCAACAACTTTGTGCGGAATTTATTTCTAGTTTACTTATTTAACACTTGGCATATTTCACAAAAAACTAGTTTTCAAATTTTTATTCACAGGTTACGCCTCCTAGCGATTAACCCAGAAACTTGAAAGTTATTTCCAGCGATTTATCTTGACCACTTTTACTAAGGAATTTTTTCTCCTAAAGTTATAACATGAATATTTTCTGATATATAGCCGAGAGATAGGCTTATTGGACCACCCGGTACATCCTCTGACTGTCCGCATATGTATCAGTTCCTCCAGTACTTCCCCATGCAAGTGCACACTGTACCGATACACTTTTTCATAAACCACTGAAAAGTCTTGGGCATGCAACGACATATCCACGAGGATATCTAACCCAATCCCACGTATTTTTTGACAGGGCAAACCACATTTGTGTTTAATGAGAATAAGATGCATATACCGAATATGTGGGGCGGCATGTTTCGAAATTAATGATTTTAAAAAAATTGACTAACAACCGACACTTTAAGCTCTATAGAGAAACAATTAATTTTTGAGTGTTGTGGCAATTAGAACTTTTGATCAGCATGACCAAAGCTACCTCTCTGCAAAGTTTCAGTCAACTAAACTAAAACCACTTTTATAAAGTTATATAGTTTATATCACAGTTTAAGAGATTAATATATAGAAAATCTAATATACCCACTAATTATTATTGTGTAAATACTTACTGTTTTTATTTTAAAACTTCTATAATCATTAGTATAATTGACATTGAATAAACAGTTTCTAACGATTATTATTTTCATAAAATAAATATGTAATTGTTATCGTATTAAAATTCATAAGTTTCAATCATTCAATAAGTTTCACAGCCTAACATATTATAAAACAAAAATTAAAATAGTTACAGCATTCTCTTTCTATTTGTTTTAATGCGACTTCAATGGTGCATAATATCCTGCACAATACTTAATTGGAAGAAAAAAATTATTTTTTAATAATAAACTGGTAAAGCCTATTTCCTTTAATGAACATCAAGCTGAAATTCCTGAAAAATTCTTATGATATCTGATTAATTCAGAAAATATATATCCAAACTATTCAACAGTTCTATAATAAAATAGAGTTAACGATCAGATATAAAAATACTTACTACCTCCATCTGAACACTAAACTATTTTATTCTAGAAAGTGAATAAGAGTAGTGTATTTTTCTGAATTAAAATATTATTCTATTTTGTGCTGAAAAGAATCAATTATCGAAAAATTCCTGAGTGGATTTTCTGAAAGCTGAAATAAAAACTGGAAGAGAATATACCTGAAAATTCTTGGCGTATATAATTTGCACTTCCTAAAAGGTTTCGTTTTACTGTCATTTCCTGTAAAAACCTGCAAACCTGTAAATTTGTATAAAATATTTTTTAAACACTCAATGTATTTTACCAAACAATTAATAGCCTATCAACTGGAAAACGAGATGACCACAATATGTGATTCAAACAGGTATACATGAATCTAAGTGCCATTTTGGATATAAATCGAATTGCAAAATGCGCCATAGACCAAATACAATAGGATTCCTACTCCCAAGATTCCTAATAGGTATCGCGAGGATTAAATGAGAAATAGTAAAAATATCAGAATATACACTACCCAAAAAAAGAACATTTAAGGGGACTACGATAATACCTTTGATGAATTTGATAACACGTTCAATCCACAAACAATAATTATAACTCTATAAGCTCTAATTTTAGACCGAAACTTTATTAATTCATTAAGTTATTACGGATATTTTTGAAAAATGTTTAGTAACAAAACAAACTAAATATGAAATATATATATATATATATATATATATATATATATATATATATATATATATATATATATACTCTGTCACATTATGCCCAGAAGGAATAACTTTTTGGCAACATGGTAGATTTATATCAAGAATGAAACGATAACGTTGAGAAGAATTTTTACTAACATGTAATCAAAAAAATGGAGGATGGTGCAGTTGACAGTATCTTTCACTGGTGTAGTAGTAGGTGGCAATTCTGTTCACTAAAAGATTTAGGAGACATTTGTTGGACTTTCCGAGTTTGAAATTGTATCAGTACGAGCACGGGAAGTTTAACGAATTTGTCCTACTAGGCCATATATTTCGCCATTCAATTCAACAAAGCCATAACAGGCTTTTGCTAACATTTAATCTTCACACACACATACACACATACACACACACATACATACACACACATACATACAAATATATATAAATTAAAAAGGAACTCAATGCAAGATTTCAATGAATAAATATAATAAATAAATATTAACTGTTTGGTTAAATAAGCAAGTGATCTAAAAATATTTATTTTACTTAGCTGTCATTCTAAAATCTGAAAAAAGGCTGAAAATATATGATTCGTCATATGATTCTGCAGAACCCTGTAAACCTGTAAAGGCTACAAAAAATAAAGGCTACAAATGTTACCTTCCAAAGAACTCTGACTGCTGGTTGTTGCCCACAATATTCATATTTTGATGCTAAATGCTAAAGAATGGAGGAAAATGGCATTCATACTATTTCATACATTCTAGCGAGTTTACTAAATCATTACTTATCTATAAATCATTTATCCGTTATAGTATTTGAACAATTATTATTTTATTCAAGGTAATCAAATTAATGTTACATTTCTAATATATTAACCATATTAATATAACCATATAATATAAATTAGTAAACTTGCTGCCATTCACAAAACACTCGCACATATAATACAACATTTGACTCACCTGATCTTCGTTAAGGTAATTAGGAAGACCTCCTATAAATATTTTGTGTGGGGAATCCGGTACTACAGTGCTAATAACACCAGCTGGAACACTTATGGAGTTTTCTGACATTCCTGGCATTGGCTGATAATCATGAGGTCTTCTGATTTTTAAACTTTGACCTGCATCAAGAAAAAACTAATAATTTTCAATGAAAGAAATAATTTCTTAATAACTTTGTTTCCATTTTGGCTGTATCAATATCAAGTGGCTTTTTCAAACTGTGCCTTTAGAACAAATGCCATGAAACGCGAAGATAAAGAAACAGTTTTGAAAATGTTATCTTGAAACAATTTTCGGAGTGGAGGTTGAAACCTAAAACAGCTGTTAAAAATGTAATTTTCATTACAATCAATTATTATGGCTTAATCCGATATAAATATAATATTTATATGTAAATATAATTTATAATATAAATATAATATTTAATAATTACTCACTTCAACCACTGAGTGTTACGAACCCAGCTGTTGAAGCGAGAAATGGCGCGGTGTGCGGCATTTACGATAAAAAGAAAAATTAGTGATTGTCTACCAAAACAAAACATAAACGTACATGCGAAGGGCATAGTGTGATATTAAAAATATGAATTAACGAAACAATAGAATATTTTGATTTCCTTCTGAAAATAATTACTAAATTTCTACTAAATGACACCTAGAACAGGATTATAATAGAAGGTAATATTTCTGAACGCTTTACATAGGTATTCGATAATGTGATTCATTGCCTATCACATTTTTTAAATTATTTAAAATATTTTATTACTAAAAAAATCAATTTTAAACTATTTCTAAAAAAATCTACGGAAAAGTTTTTTCACACTAGAGGAAGAAATTCACACTGTTTTTTAATAAATTGATGAGGAGAGGCTAGGAAATATGGATAAGAAATAAACAAGGAAAAAAATATGGAAAAGTATACGGACATGGGAGGAAATAAACAACATGATCATTTAAAATAGCTCAATGACCCAATACTATTTAAAATCACCGTTAACAAATAAATGTAGAAAAGAAGAAATTGACAGGAGGATGGTCAAAGATAGCAAAGAGAGAAAAAGAAGAATGTATAAAAAGTTGTCCAACCTAAACAAGCTCTATACAAGCGAGACCTGATTTTTTTCTATATCTATACTCCAATTGTTTAAGCGCACCCGCTTTTTCGGTAGGGATCTATGTAGGAATAACACTGAGCCGCAAGCCACTCCCTCTTCATTTACTGCTCATGCATAGGTCGATCCGATACACCAGCTTATTCTAGTCTAAGTAGTACATCCATTTGAACAATGCTAATTATACAACAATGGTAACTCTTATGTTTTCTGACCAGGGTTTGAACAATCGACCACTAGATCATTTACAGTGAAGCTCTGCAAAACTACTGACCAAAAATTAGATTAATTACTATTTATAACTGGGAGTAAGCCACATTAAAGATAAAAATACATTTATTGACGTTTCAATTTCCAATTCGGAAATCGTTCTCAAAATACAAATAGTAAATTAAACAAATTTTGTTTTTTGTTACATAGTGAAAAAATTCTTCTGCTAATTTAATTTTATCTGACTCATTTATATTGACAATTCAGACATACATTATGCATTTTAAAGTAGACGACTTTAAAATGATATTGCCAATATTGTTGAGTTGCGCTCCTGGGACGACTTTACTTATAAGATAGTTCATTCGATTACATGAAATCAACTTTGACTTGAGAATATCCGTCAGAAAAAATCATAGCATGTAATTCGTCTTTAAAAAGACAAACACATGACATGATGACAGTAAAATTCTCCTGTTAGTGATTCCATAGTAAATTATGAGGGAAAAACCAGGAAAAAAACCTCATAATACTATCCCGACATTGTAAGTATTTGTTCGTGAATTTAGTTTACCTTCAACAAACATCAAAATTCTGATTTTATGTTACGTTATTTAAAAAACATAAATGATGTATCCTCTATATGTTACTGACTTACTAATACTGGTATTTTCTTATTAATAACTTCCTCTTTCAATATTGGTAACCAGATCCTACTACATTCTGCCGAGGAATTTGCGACACAATTGGCCTCATTTAGCATAATTAGAGCCGCTTCTTTGATTTTTCTTTTTTTACCATCCGTTTCTTTTAGGACTATATTTGAATTATTCCATTGAACTCTATGTTCATTATCCCATGCGTGTTTACATATTTGAGATCTATCAAATTCTCTATTTTTAATATAAGATTGATGTTCACTTATTCTAACATTTAATGGCCTTGATGATTCACCTAAATAAAACTGATCGCATTCACAAGGTTTTTTATAAATGCAATTCTTTGTCCTTTCTTGTTCATTGTTAGGTTTGGTTTTGGACAAAATAGATCTCAACGTGTTTGTTGTTTTGAATGTTGTTGAAATGTTGAATTTATTTCCTATCCTTTTAAGTTTTTCTGATAATCCTTTTATGTACGGTATTGTTATTTTCCTCATATTATTCCTTGTGTATGCTGCAGGATCTCGTTCTAAGTTGTTCTGTTCTATTCGATCGATTGTTGAAAATTCCTTATTTATAAACGATAAAGGATAATCATTTTTTAATAAAACAGATGTTAACAAATGTTTCTCCTCCAAGAACGAATTTTCGTTAGAACAAGTAATTTTGGCTCTATCGTATAAGGATTTAATTATTCCCTTTTTTACATTAATATTGTGATTTGATTTGAAATTTAAATATCTATTGGTGTGTGTTGGTTTTCTATACACCTGAGTCTCATATCCAGTATCGTTCTTAGAGATCAAAACATCCAGGAAAGGTAGCGTGTTATTATATTCCTTTTCCATGGTAAATGTTATTGTCTCTTCTTTATCGTTTATATCGTTTAGGAATGTGTCCAACAACTCTGATCCATGAGGCCATATTGAGAATACATCATCTACATACCTCCACCATACTGTGGGTTTGAAATTTTGTTTAGAAATGATATTTGTTTCAAAATCTTCCATAAATATATCGGCTAAGAATGGAGATAAACTAGAGCCCATTGCTAGACCAAAATTTTGTTTATAGAATTCATTATTTAGTTGAAATATGTATTATCAGTACATAATGTTAATAACTCCATTATAGCCGATATGTTTAGTCTTGTTCTAAAGTCGTCTACTTTAAAATGCATAATGTATGTCTGAATTGTCAATATAAATGAGTCAGATAAAATTAAATTAGCAGAAGAATTTTTTCACTATGTAACAAAAAACAAAATTTGTTTAATTTACTATTTGTATTTTGAGAACGATTTCCGAATTGGAAATTGAAACGTCAATAAATGTATTTTTATCTTTAATGTGGCTTACTCCCAGTTATAAATAGTAATTAATTTACAATGCCACAAGAAAATAGCTTCAGAACAATACAAAAATTAGATAGCTGGATGCAAAAGATTCTTGAAAATCTATATGAAAGTGTAAACAGGGTAATATATATTGAAAAAAGAAAACACAATGAAATGATACAATTATATGGACAATCAAAAATAAAATCAGTTGCAAAAGTCCAACAATTGAGGTGGCTCAAGCATGTATTTAGAATGTCAAAAGAAAGAATTTCTAGATAATTACTGAATCTGACTGAAAAAGAGAAATGGGAAGACTCACAAAGAAAAAAAGGACTATGTTCATGATTTAAATAGAATTATCTGCATCGTTTAGACCATTTTTTAAACAATGGGGTTGCATTGGGAAAGTAACAAATGTTAACTGTAAAAAGGGGACCCTTAATCAATCTTAAAAACCGCATTACTTAATGGGTCTTATTTCACCAATAACAAAGATACATTCATTTATAAATATAAGAAATCCAGGTCCTGATTAAAAAATATTCCGATCCAAAAACAACACCCTGTAAATTAGATTTTTTGTAAAATCTGTATTCTGCAAGAAAATGTATTCTGCACTTGAAAAGAGGATGAAAAACTAAATTTAGTAGTATTTTATTTTTCATTTCTTGAAAGGTGTTTTCAATCCGTTCAAGAAGTTCATCTCTACTATGTATTTCATTGTTATAAACTTTGGATTTTAAATATCCCAAAACATAATAATTGATAGGATTAAAAGCACATGATTGTGAAGGCCAGATATGAAGACGCCTCTACCAATCCATCTATTGGGAACATTGTCGGATAAAAACTCACTAACTATGCGCCTGTAATGTTGAATGGAAGGTAATAGTCCTATTAATTTGGTATCAAACATGCTACACCATACATTAACAGAAAATTTATGCACTGAATGAGTTTGCCTTGTGGAAAATGGATTTTCCTCTGCCAAAACGTCTGAGTTCCTAAAATACCCCATCTCCAGTGAATTTTACTTGATCCGTGAATAAATATCTGTTTACAATCTTTGAATTTCGGGTGATCCACCGCTAAAATCAATTCTGAGTATTTAGTCTCTACATAGCAACCCTTGTACTTCCTATATGCAGTGTAGGAAAAAGTTTATGGTCGGTATGGACCTTACGTGAGATAGAGTGAGAAACAGCTGTTTAAAAAGAGAGAGGTATATTAGGTCTGCCCTTTATATCGCCGAGCATGCATGCGTGGAAATAATAAAAAAGGGGAAGTTCAACGTTGCCAAACTTATTGGTTTTATTTGACCTGTTGTCTTTTTTGCATTTGAGCAATGTTCTAAGATAATCAAATTTGGGCGAAATTGATTTAAATGGCAGCTTACTGTTTTTTTTATTGGGAATATGCCACAAGTTTACTTTACAATAAGTGTAATATAGCATTTTGATTTCCACTTCGGAAATCGTTTTATATAAATAAAATTTATTAATGTTTCGTATTTTAAGTACGATTTTCGAATTAAAAATCTAAACATTAAAATAAGCTTATTTTAAAGTCACATTGTGCCTTATTCCCAATATGAAATAATAAACTGCATACAATAACGCCACATTAAAAAATATTCATACACAATAATTATTTGGCAACGTCTGTCTGGTCAAAACACCGAGTAACGAGTAGTAGAGGTGGGTCGTGGTAGTTTTATCGTTAAGAGCGTAGGCGCAAAATTTCGGGCCAATGTTTTTTAAATGAATTCATTTTTTTCGAATCCTGAAAAAACTAATAAAT